AAACGGAAAAAGCAGTCAAATAAGACAATCATAGAAGCTGAAGAAAACTTGAGAGCCATGTCTGATGCTATGACAAGAAACAATATTAGAATAACTGGATTTCTGGAACAAGACCCAACAAAGAAGTCAACAGCGAAAATAGCAAGGGAATTCTTAGAGGAAAACGTCCAAAGCTTAATAAAAGAAAATCAGGGAACCTTTCAAGATGCTGAAAGAACACCAGCCAGATCGAAGCCCAAGAAGAAGTCACCAAGACACATAATTGTCAAATTATCCAACTATGAGGAAAATGAGAAGAACATAAAAGCAGCTAGGGAAAAGCAAACAGTCACGTATAAAGGTACCTCACTAAGAGTATGTTCAGACCTATCAGCAGAAACGATGAAGAAGAGGAAATGGAGTAACATATTCCAAAAATTAGAGGAAAACAACGCAAACCTAAGAATACTTTACCCAGCCAAATTAGATTTTGACAACCTCAAAGAATACATAAAAAGAAACTCAGCCCTACACAAGGTCCTTGCCGATCCAGTATGGGCAGAAGATCAACACTCACTGAGGGCAAATAAGAGACAATCACATAGAACAACTCCACCCATAGGGCGACAAACAGGAAACAGCCCCCAGGATAGCATCAGCTCAATAGTGGAAAGAAGGCAAACATAAACCACACACACAAGCGGATAAGTTAGACAGATAGGAAAATATCCAACACAAAAGGTACAAGATGACATCACAGAACGCACAGATGGATATAATAACACTGAATATCAATGATCTGAACTCAGGCATTAAAAGGCAGAGGCTAATACACTGGCTCAGGAAACATAATCCATCGATCTGCTGCCTCCAGGAGACTCATCTCAAGCTTGCAGACAAAAACAGGTTGAGAATTAAAGGCTGGAGAAAAATATACCAAGCAAATGGTAAAGCAAAAAAAGCAGGGGTAGTGATCTTAATATATGACAAAATTAATCTCAAGATACAGGTCATAAAAAGAGACAAGGAAGGGTACTATATAATGCTCAAGGGAACAATAGACCAAGAACCAGTGAGCATAATAAACATATGCACCTAACGAGAAACCTACGAAATTTGTAAATCAAACACTCCAAAGATGAATAAAGAGATACACGCTCAACAATTGTAGTTGGTGACTTTAATACACCACTCTCTGAAAAAGACAGATCATTGGGAAAGAAACTCAAGTAGGAGGCTACAGATCTAAATAGCACAATTGGATGACTTGACTTGATAGATATTTTCAGAGCTTTACACCCACATGCAAAAAAAAGGCATTTTTTTAAAGTTTACATGGAATATATTTGAAAATAGACCACATACTGGGACACGAGATGAATTTGAGTAAATTCAAGCACATAGAGGTTATACAGACATCTCTCTCTGATCATTGTGCCATAAAGCTGGAAATTAACAGAACGACGGTGAAGAAAACAAGAGTAAACAATTGGAGGATGAACAATTTCCTATTCCAAAAGGAATGGGTATTGACCCAGATCAGAGCTGAAATCAGGAAGTTTCTAGAAACCAATAAGAACAAAAATACAACATACCAAAACCTGTGGGATACAGCAAAGGGATTTATCAGAGGAAGGCTGATAGCAATAAATGCATACATTAAAAAAGAGGAGAGATTCGTGGATGATATGCTGGCACAAAACTTACAACAATTAGCAGAGTCAACAGAACAACCCTACTAATAGCAAGGGGATAGATATAATAAGAATCAGAGCCAAGGTACAGGAGAGGGAAAACAAGAAAACTATGGAAAAATTAATGCTGCTAAAAGTTGGTTATTTGAAAGAATTGATAGATCTCTCGCAAACCTAATCAAAGAAAGGAAGGACAAACGACATTTGCAAGGATGAGGGATGAAACAGAGGACATTAAAACAGACCCTAATGAAATCAACAGGATAATTACACAGTACTATGAAGGTCTATGCTCAAACGAATTCAACAATTTGGAAGACGTGGACCAATATTTGGAAACACAATCCTTCCCTAGACTATCCCAGATGGATGTCAAGAACCTCAACAAACCCAGAGCAATGGAAAAAATAGTCAAGGTAATCAAGGGATTAGCAACAACAAAAATCCCTGGGCCAGATGGCTTCACAGGAGAATTCTACCAAGCATACAGGGAAGAACTGACACCAATCCTATACAAACTATTCCAGAACAAAAAAAAGACGGAAAACTCCCAAAATCTTTCTATGAAGCTAGTATAACTCTGATACCTAAATCAGGCAAAGATGCCACAAGAATTGAGAACTACAGACCAATATCCCTAATGAACATTGATGCAAAAATCCTTAACAAAATACTGGCCAATAGAATACAAAAGCATATTAAAAAATAGTTCACCAAGACCAAGTGGGATTCATACCAGGGGTGCAGGGATGGCTCAATATACAAAAGACCATCAGCATTATTTGCCACATTGGCAGGAAAAATGATAAGAACCACATGATAATATCGATGGATGTGGATAAAGCATTCAACAGCATCCACCACGCATTCCTGTTTAAGACACTCAAGAAGATAGGAATAGAAGGACAATTCCTTAGTATTATACAAGCCATATATGAATAACCAATAGCCAACCTGGTAGTTAAAGGAGAAAAGACGAAAACAATTGCACTGAAAAAGGGGACCAGACAAGGATGACCCTTGTCCCCACTCCTATTTAGCATCGTACTGGAGGTCCTAGCTAAAAGCATAAGACAAAGGAAAGATATTAAAGGTATTCATCTGGGGAAGGAAGAAGCAAAATTATCATTATTCGCAGA